GACGATTGCAGTAAGAGGCTACAACGTAACAATCTGTTTTCGTTCAATTCGGAACTTTGAGAATGATATTCGTTAACAGAATGTTTTCATTCACTACATAGACTAGCCTTTAACGGCCATATTCAATTCGAAGCTCCTCAGCTACCAATCTAACCTTACTTCAGCAAATTTGTGGACTCACCTTCCCATTGCTGGTGTCAATAATAGCGATGGTAGAATTCTTGATCGGGCCGAGTTTCTTGTTAAACTTCTCCTTCCCGTCGAAAGAGCTACAAAGCAACTATCAGATACGTATGCACTTCAGCCATATTTTTTGTGCGCGCTAAAGCTCGCCTAATCAGTGTTGCCGAGGGGGTGAGCTCATTTCCGTTAAGCTACATGCGGGGCTCACAGCTGTTTAGAATAATGAGCTGAAGGAGGAAGTAACAAAACAAAATAAAAGTGAAAGTCCATGTAACGCAAAGATAAGAAGAGGGGCAGGGGTTCTAAACGACGTCAACATATAGTTATGTGCAAAGCTAAATAATTACTTAGCATCCCATTCACGTTCAGCGCGATGGAAAGCGACGAGATGACCTTTCCCATCGATGGCTAATCCTCCGATTTCACCGAGTTGTTTGGATATGGGAAGAATGTAGGCCTGAAACAAGTGGGATTACCGAGCGTAGCAAGATGGATTACTTCCTCCATTCTGTAGATAATAACACCCATTCTGTTGTAACTTTAGTAAAGGTAAGAAATCAGTCGTTTATTCAAAAGTAACAAAAATGAATTATTTTATGTTAAAAGTGACCATAAAAGATAAGCGCTACAGCAAGTATGTGATGTATATCATGTAATATACATTTTTTTCAACGAAGGAAAATTCTTTCAACACAGAAACCCGTTTAGACAAAGTTGTTCTGTTCTTAGAATCTTTTTATTCTGCCGGTTATGTAGCAGTATGGCATTTAGGGAGATATAGAAGACTCGCAAAAAAAGAAAAATACAGCTGTTGGATAAAACACTGTTGACTTCAACATTGTTCTAACTTTCAAAATATCGATAGTTTTAGCTTGCACTGAACCTGGATTTTTACAGAAAGTTTTCGGCTTTTAGGGGCATTGCAGTACTCACGTCTGCAAGAGGGGGGAGGGGCTCTCGTCGAAAGACCGCCAGGCAGTTGATCTGTCTAATTAATCTGATCCAGTCCTGCGTCCAAAACTATATGGAATCAGACAGCATCACTTGAAGGTTTTGGTTTCAAATGAAAGAAGGAAGCTCTTATGTCTTCGAAAGTATGCTCAACACGGCTTAACAACAAAACAAATAAACCTACACGAACTTCTACAACATTTCACAACGAAGTAATCAAGTTACAATTCTTCGATGCGGAGATTAGAGATCGCAATATGATGTAGCCGTCATAGGCCCAGCAAGCGGGCGGAGTCTAAGGTGCGCCCGGCCAAGGCGCTGAACGTGCTGAGCTTAATCGATCAGAACGAGATCCAATTGTCTGCCGTTCTCCCTGCGAGAGGATACGGGTACCAAAGAATACGCCCCCTTATGCCGCGCTATAGGTTCAATGTTACATTTTGATAAGCCGTTGCAAAATTGTTTCTAAGAGAACTGCACAGATTACGCCACGATCAATTTATGCGCTTTAATATTCCTACTCATATTACTTATTGTGAGTTTGCAGTGAAGCACTAGGCAGATAGCAACTGAGATTTTTTGCTGAACAATCAAATGGCTGAATTAGAGTTTTCAAAAGCCGAGAGGTGTTCCAACTCCATTGGAACAAGACCAATTTATTATTATTATTATTTACTTATTAATTGAATTAATTTACCGCACCTATTCAACAAACATCAGAGATATCTCTCAGCGCAAAGCGTAGTTCTTTTGATTTCGATCATATTTGATACCAAGTACATCACGGATGCGTCAACTTCTTGTTACATTTTAACATCCT